CTTGAGGAATATGCATACAGAATCTTTCAAGATAAAAACACCAGGATTGTAGCTAGCTCTAACATGAAATTTGGTGTGGCAGGTTCCTGTTGTCGTTGACGAATCTAGTTGCAACAACAATGAGGATATTAACTTCCGCTTCACGGGGTTCGTTTTAGTCGATGAGTTTGCTACTTTTTTGATAGGTGGTTAGGTCATTTTTCTTCCTTTAAAGTTCTCTTGTTTTACTCTGTTATATATTGCAGTTTTACATTATCCGGTAAAGTCCGTGGAGCTATTGGTGGAGAGAGTTGTTCGATTAAGAATGGAGGCCCAGCTGATGTCAATGTTGAATTATTGTCTTCTGATGGAGATTCCATTGCTTCTGTTCTTACATCGTCAGATGGGAGCTACTTGTTCAAGAATATTATTCCAGGTAAGGAGTCACGGAAAGCTTCTGTTCTTTCTAGATCACTTTTGTTATTCTGGCCTTTTTTATACATGTACTTGGATTGTGATGATCAAATTACGAGTCTTTTTGATTGGTTTCAGGAAAATACAATATCCGTGCATCTCATCCAGAGCTGCAAGTTGAAGTCCGCGGTTCAACAGAGGTCTCACATCTTTTTGGTTTTGCATTCTTTTTATTTATTAAAACTTTCATTTAAAATTCTCCTGACCAAGCTTTCTTCATTTGATTGTAGTACACATACCTTCCCTACTCTTTACTTTCTATTTTATCCGTTGTTCAATACATTTGACTGGAAATATTTTTATTCTGCATGCTAATAGTTGAAGTACCTCTGTTTACCTTTAGGTGGAACTTGGATTTGCAAATGGCATGGTGGATGACATATTCTTTGTCCTTGGTTATGATCTGAAGGGGTCTGTTGTTGCTCAGGTGATCCTTCTATTGCTCTGTTTTCTTTTTCGTTTGATGTTAGAAACTTGATTCCCTCCTCTGCATTCGTGAGTAAAATTTTAGTTATGATCTTTACTGGAAACAGCTGTTGGTGTATCATTAAGTTGGTTGGGTTCCTGTCCATCAAGCACTTGTAGAGTCAGTTCTGAGCGTGTAATAGAAATCATTTTGTTTCCTTTTGTAGGGAAATCCAATCCTGGGAGTTCATATATATTTGCATTCAGATGATGTTTCCATGGTAGATTGTCCCCAAGGATTTGGTGACGCTTCTGGAGAAAGGAAGCCTCTCTGCCATGCTGTATCCAATAAGGACGGAATATTCAGTTTCAAGTCCATCCCATGTGGTAAATCAATGTCGAATTATCCACAATTAATTACTCTGATAACATTGTTCATTGAGCATTCACTTACATTAAGCTTTAGCCTGATGAATTCTGTATTGTACTACACAAGTTAGATGACAATTGAACTTGTTAAACTTTAAGGACACTTGAAATTCTTGTTGCATAGCCAAGTTTAGGCTGCTCTTATTTTCTATTGAGCCATTCTTTTATCATTCGATTTTTTCGTCCTCAGGAAAATACGAACTGATACCGCATTATAAGGGCGAGAACACGGTATTTGATGTTTCACCTCCTGTGATGCCTGTTTCTGTAGAGCATCAACATGTCACTGTTCCCAAAAAGTTTCAGGTCAGAGAGAACAACTACAAACTTTTATACCGTTCTTTGTTTCTATATTTGGATTTTGCTTACATGTTCTTCCTCTAAATTTTGAACTGAATGCTCCTTTAGGTAACAGGATTCTCCATCGGGGGTCGTGTAGTTGATGGTAATTCGAAGGGAGTTGAGGGCGTTGAAATCTTAGTAGATGGTAGTGTAAGATCTGTCACGGACAAGGAAGGTTATTACAAGCTTGACCAGGTATACTTAAATGCTACTTCTAAGTTTATACTTCATACCTTGTTCCAGTCGTGAGCCTGGTAAATTGGTTGTTACTCAACTTCTCCTAGTGAATGTTTCAAGGCTTCTATAATCTAGAGCAAAGGATTTGGCTAGAATTCTGAAGTCTCCGTCGGTTTTTTTTTTCCACCACTCCTTAAGTCTCTTTTTTCTTGCTGGTGTGATCACTCCTTCAATGTCTTTTGTCTTGCTGTCGTTATTAATAACTTAGACAGTAGGGGTGTAATGTAACGTTGGTTAAATTCCTTAGGTTACATCAAATCGATATACAATAGATGCAGTCAAGGAGCATTACAAGTTCGACAAACTGCAGAAGTTCATGGTATCATTCTCATTTATTTATTTTTCTTTTTCTTCTGTGGTGTGCTAAATTAATTGCTCCATAACTCGTTAAACTTGTTTGCTTAGGTTTTACCAAATATGGCTTCACTTCCAGAGATCAGTGCTGTATCCTATGATATCTGTGGTGTGGTGCGAATGGTTGGTTCTGGTTACAAGGCAAAGGTAAATTCTTATTCATATTTGGGCATATGTTGCTCTGTTTATTTTTATCTCATACTTACCGTTTTAACATTTTAAATCTAGGTAGCTTTGACTCATGGACCCACAAATGTCCCACCGCAAATGAAGCATACAGATGAGAGTGGAGCGTTCTGCTTTGAGGTTTGTTGATGCAAAAATGTATCTGTAGTAAATCCACTAGGCGAAAATTCACTTTGGAGAGTTGTTTCTAGCTTCTTTGGGTCCTTGTTGTTTTTCTGTTTGTGGATGAATTCTCTTTTCTTACCCTATAACAAGTTCATTTTTTAAAATATCATATATATTCCAGGTTCCACCAGGCGAATATAGGCTGTCTGCTTTGGCTGCTACACCAAAGAGTGCTTCTGAGCTTTTGTTTTTGCCAGCGTATGTGGATGTTGCCGTCAAAAGTCCATTGTTGAACATAGAATTTTCTCAGGTGATTTACTGTGAATGATACTACTCTCTTGGAAGTGTTTCTGTATCAGTTCAAAAATATGAGAATGGAATGTTTTATGGTGCACCTAATCTCAGAAGTTATCCAGTATATTGCCCTTTTTCAAATTGATAGGAGTTGTTGGATGGAAAAATATACTTCCACATGTTCAAGAGGCTGTTTTTTTTAATCTTTTTTGGGTATTGATGTAGGCCCGAGTCAATGTGCATGGTTCTGTTACTTGCAAGGAGAAATGTGGTCCGTCTGTCTCAGTGGCGCTTGTGGGAGTAGCTGGCAATCGTGACAAGAAGACAGTTTTTTTAACCGATGAGAGCAGTCAATTTCACTTTTCAGACATATTGCCTGGAAAGTATAGAGTTGAGGTGGGCTTCATGTTTTATTCTCAACTTCTTTTCTCCTCTTGGATGCTTCTGTAAGAGATGGACAAAAAGTCACATTACTAGCTAAAACCATTTACTATTTTCTTTTCATGGTTGATTTATTTTAGGTCAAAAGCATCTCACCGGAAGACGCATCTGAGGAAGACAGTTGGTGCTGGGACCGTAGCTCCATTGACGTGAATGTTGGAGCTGAGGATATCAAAGGGATCGAATTTGTCCAGAAAGGTTACTGGATTAATATTATCTCCACCCATGAGGTGGATGCTAAAATTGTTCATACTAATGGATCACCTACTAATTTAAAAATCAAGGTATTCTTTGTTCTGTGGATTTTCCGTAGCTATTGCTGTATTTAAACTCTATCAGAACTAATTGTTTTCTTCATTTGTGGTATCTACAGAAAGGTTTGCAGAAAATATGCGTTGAGTCACCTGGAGGGCATGAGCTTCAGCTTTCTGACTCCTGCATATCCTTTGGGAGCAATTCAATAAAGATAGATGTCTCAAATCCACAGGTTTTAGTTTGTAATCTTGTCACTTTTGTTTAAACATTCTTTGGCTCACCCTTCATTAAACTTTTTCATGCTTTTCTCTCTGTAGCCTATTAATCTGAGAGCAGAGAAGTATCTCCTCAAAGGTCTGATAAATGTGGAGTCTAGTTCAACCGAGATTGAGTTGCCAGAGGATTTCATTGTTGATATGCAAGACAAGGAAGGAAGAGTTATCAACAGTTTTTCTGCCAAAATTGGATCTGATAGACGTGGCGTTTATGAGTTCTATACCTGGGCAAATCTTGGTGAAAAGATTAGCTTTGTTCCTCGGGATTCTAGGTATGATCTTCTAATTTTGTTATCGTATGAACTAGACTTCAAATGTTTGGAGTAAAATGTCTCAGGAATGTATCATAGGAGATAAGTTCTTGTTTCAAACAACCAACCAAAAGAGTATTTGGGTGCTTCAATTTGCCTTCAATATCACTGAAGCTATTATTCTTTTCAAGTTACTTCAGCTATAACTGTATTCTGTTTCAGGGGTAATGCGGAGAAGAAGATGTTGTTTTATCCTAAAGAGCTTCATGTAAGTATGGACTATAAGTAATGCTAGCCATAAAAGATTCTATTATGAGCACATCAAACTTAATTTATATATTTGTTCTAATAGGCTGTAGTGTCAAATGATGGATGCCAAGCTTCAGTTTCTCCATTTACTGGTCGACTTGGTCTTTACATTCAAGGATCGGTCTCTCCTCCTCTCCCCGGTGTTAACATTAAAGTCTCCGCTGCAAAAGACAGCCTTATTTCTTCACTCAAGAAGGGTGAAGTAGCTGCTGAAACAAGCACATCGCCAGATGGTTCATTTGTTGCTGGGCCTTTGTATGATGATATACCATATTACACTGAGGCATCAAAGGTTGGTATATGAAATTATACTGATAAATTTTTTATGTGCATGTAAATTGAACCTAAGATTATGATTTTCTTCACTTTTCTTCTATCTTACGTTAGATCTCCTGCATTTGCACTTGCATTCATTTGTTTTGAAATAATGTGTTCCTGATCTTGGCTTATATATGCAGCCTGGGTACCATATTAAAAGACTAGGACCACATTCTTTCTCCTGCCAGAAGCTTGGTCAGATCTCTGTGCGTGTATACTCAAAGGACAATGCCGATACATCAATCACTCCGTTGTTGTTATCATTAAGTGGAGATCATGGTTACAGAAACAATTCTATATCTGGCGCTGGTGGACTCTTTGTATTTGATAGCTTATTTCCTGGAAATTTCTACTTGCGTCCCCTTCTTAAGGTAATTAACCCATTCCGTTCTGCATTCTTAGCAACACACTGTCTGAAAACGATATGACAAATTTACACGTATTTGCCGCAGGAATATTCTTTCAAACCTTCAACGCTGGCAATAGAACTGGGTTCTGGGGAGTCTAGTGAAGCTGTCTTTGAGGCTACTCGTGTTGCGTACAGGTTTAATCTTGTTCTAAATCTCCTTTTTCTCACTTACGTAAAAAAATGCTGTAGTCTTAATTAGTTTCTGGAATAAATTGTTTCTTCTGTCGTAAATACTTTCTTTAACAATATACTATGTCAATAACTTTGCAGTGCAATGGGTAGAGTTGCTCTCCTATCTGGCCAGCCACAAGAAGGCGTTGCAATTGAAGCTCGTTCTGACTCCAAAGGATACTATGAGGAGACTACAAGTGATGTTAATGGAAACTATCGTGTGAGAGGGTTACATCCAGATACAACATACGTAATCAAAGTATCGAAAAAACCCAGCTCAGGCAACAACAAAATTGAACGTGCGTCTCCAGAATCGGTGTCTCTTCAGGTTTGTTTCTGCTTCTCCCTAACATTTCATTCTTATCATCCGCATTTTCAACAACAGAATTTACCTGACAATTCTCTTTTCTTATAGATTGGTTACGAAGATACCCACGGGATCGACTTTTTGGTCTTTGAACAACCAGAAACAACCATATTAACATGCCATGTCGAAGGAAAACAGAACGAAGAACTAAACTCGAATCTGATAGTGGAGATTAAATCAGCCATTGATGAATCTAAAATAGAGAACGTCTTTCCGCTACCACTTTCCAACTTCTTCCAAGTAAAAGGATTATCCAGAGGTAAACACCTTGTGCAGCTTAAATCCAGTCGTCCGTTAACCTCACATAAAGTAGAATCAGAGATCATCGAAGTTGATTTCGAGACAAATGCCCAAATCCATATCGGTCCACTTCGATACAGCATCGTAACAGATCATCAGAGTCAGGTAGGAATTCACACAAACAGTCTTCCACATATCCAATAGACTGAGCTCTCTCTGTTTTGTTTTTCTCATCGTTGATTTGCATTGGTTTCAGGAAGTAACACCTGCAGCTATACTACCGCTGGTTATCGGCGTTTCGGCAGTTGCTCTGTTCATCAGCATCCCAAGGTAATATAAAATCATAACCAAATTGTAACATTCAAATTTTGAAATTTTATCATGATTAGTAATTCACAAACTTGACATTTGTATGAACAAAAAAAAGGTTGAAAGACATATACCAAGCCACGGTTGGGATTTCGTCTCCCGGGTTCAGTGCATCTGCGAAGAGAGATCAACCTCGAAAAGCTGTTGCTAGAAAGAAGACATTCTGAAGCATTCATCTTCGG